CTTATCACATTGACCCTTGTCGTCGATCCCCTCCACGCACAGGCCAAAGGTGTACTTGAGAGCAGTTGCTACTGGTTGTTTGTTGGTCTGAAGCGTTCCCCGCCCATCGTGAGATAAACAGTGCCGTAGGTCAGTCTGACGACCTGATCGACCCAACTTACCAGAGTGGCCGCATCGTTGTGTAGCTCTTCATCGTCCTCTCTGCCTTCGAGCCGTGTTGCGTGCAGCAGAGAAGCAAGCCCAGCCACAGCTCTGTTGCGCTCCAGGCCTTGGTCGTTACACCGACCAGCCAAGTATATCGCGTCCGGACATAACCGAAGTGCTGATGTAGCATCACAGCAACCACGTTTCGATGGCTGCTGTGCCACTCGGACGATTCACCGCCCTGCCCAGCGTCCACAATCCCTTACGCCCGGCCGTCGCGCTGGAACGCCAGTGTCCCTTCCTGCCACGTTCTTCGTGACGTTGCATTCGTGTCAGGGCTGCTCGCGGAGGAATACCGTGGCGCCGCCAAGGCGTTCCGTTCTGCCGGGGATGACAGGCAGGACACGATGTTCCATCGGTCAAAGTGATGTCGGGTAGCGTCCATGGGTCTGTCAACAGCGCCAATCGTCATGATCCACGCCTCGCCCGCCTCAAACCTCTTTCTCGAATGTGCTCCAAAACGAGGCTGAATCGTCGCGGCTAGCTTGTTGTCTTGACAAAGACACTAGTAAGTGCACAGGTTGGGCCATGCAGCTTGCGTCCGCCTCGGAATGACGAATAACAGAAGAGCCTCATACGACGGCCACAATGTCATTCTCGTTTCCCACTCCTTTTGAATAACTAAGCCTTGTTTGTGCGTCTCATCTGACGGCCTCATCCGGCCACCCATCGAAGGACCCCTGCATAACGGTGGACTCTCGTCTCTCGAGAGTCGTTGAGCACCATGGGCGTGCAAAAACGATCAATGGCGAGTAGGAACTCATTCACTTGCAGTGTCACTATTCAGACGGACAGTCCATTACTTGATCCCGTATTCGTTATGTGCTCTGATTTAGTGTTGCCCAAATCCTGATGCTACTTTTTGGTTGATGATGAGCTTATTCTGCTTCCATAATATCTGATCCCGGTGCCCGCCGCTTATGTCCAGATTTGTTGATTTTGTATTCGTTATGTGATTTCGCCACGAAAGATGCGGATGCAATGTCGCATCAATATCCTTGCTCCGAATCTTCCTCCTCCAGCGAGTCATCCTCTCCTTGCGCGCATGAGTACTCAGCCTCGGGATTCTCCCAGTCATCCAAATCAAAGCTTTTTGTTTTCTCAGTGTCCATCGTTGCCACGCAATCCTGGGCAATCTCAGCAAGCTCTGCCATCAGATCACTACAGAGACGAATCCGCTTGAAAGCTCGGTGGCCCATTCCAATGGAGTCGAGGTCTCGGGTCGATGCAAGGACTTCGTTCAGTGGCTGACCGCGTTGCCATTGGTCCGCGTTGCGAGAACTCCGAGTCTTGGAGAGATTGATGAGTCGATTCCGCGCCCAGTACACGGCTAAGAACACGTTATGGTGACCGACGTGCCGAACATAACAGTCATCCCAATGAATAACGGCAAGGGCTTTTTTCTTGCTCCAGTTGCCAACCTCGAGCTGGACCAGGTCTTCTGGCACCTCTTGGCCATGGATATTAACCCATCGGAACCGAATACCCTGTGCTGTCCCGTCTTTGTTCCAGCTTGGGAGAGGACAAAGCCAAGCTGGGCAGCCTTTCTGGCGGGCTACGCTGACGTGCGAACTATCGATAGTCGACGACAATCCAGGAACGGGGTTTGGCCGACAGTCCTGTGTGAGAGACCCGATCTGTAGACCACTTTGGGTATCGCTAGGATCTGTCCAGGGGTCAGGCACGAAGCTGTGCATTTCCGTGGTCCAATCGTTGCTGAAGACGATGCGCCAGAACTTGGCACGCTTTTGGTTTTCGATGTTCAACGGCGCTTCCTTCCGATTACAGACGTCCAGCGCGATGATGAGGTCGTCGCAGATTGTCTGATCAGACTCCACCAGGTCAGTGCCGTACCTGAATACCACGGCCACGGGATCATTGTTAGCCGGGGAAGGCGCCATTTTAACCTTCTGAGTATGTTAGACACGAGGTGTGGTTTTTGGGAGGAATCTGCATAAATAGTAAGTTGGGCAATAAAGTAAAGTACCTACGTTGAAGAGGGGGTCAAGATGATGGGTAGTCGGCTCTGGGTTCCAGCAGCGTCAGATTGTCGAGTCTGCTGTGATTCAGAGAGAGTGATGTGTCGGATATTGTATTGCTGAGAAGAACCGGTTGGGATGATTACAACCTTTTGTGTTTGTCAAATGTTGGGGGCAGGGGTTGCTTCTATTTGTAGTGAGATCCGAACAGGATGGCTTCTTCCAGAACGTGACGCAGTGAATCCCATTTACTGCCTTATGTTAGGTAGTTGTGACTGTAGCCCGGCCTGATTCAGAGATGATCTAAGTTGCTGCTGTATGCGGCTTTACTGTCGAAACTCCGTTGCACGTTTCGTGGCTTGCGAGGTGTTTGAAAGGAGGCATGCGACACTCTGGTCCTTTTACCTACGCGGCTGGCTCGCGAGTGCCGATGTTGGCTACAGCGAGAAGTACCTCACAACATGCACGAGCTGCAAGAGAGGCTCACAAGGCCGAATTGGCAGCTTGCTGGTCTTCCTAGCAGGATCACATCCCAGCCTAGCATCATACCTACGTGATGCTCAGCAAAATATCGTCAGCATGAAACTCACACCATTTTTAGACCCAAGAGTTCGACCATACACCCTCATTGATTGATCGGAACTTGAGGACATATGTCACCCGTAAAGTCACTGGTGGATCAGATCGATGCCAGCCGAACATGCCCTTGCTCCAGGGATACAATGCTGCGAGGCATGTTTGTCGCCGACACGTTCGCACTCACAAGACCCTGAATCGCGGGGCAGCCAATCACGCGACGCAGGTGACAACCGCGTCTTAACTTCCCCTCCCGCAGTCCTCGTCGGTCCACTGTCAAGATCCATTCAACCTTCTCATGTTCATCCAGACTTTGGTCAATCAACTGAAGCCCACGTCATAGCCAATTTGCTGCCGTCAAATAGCATCCCTGCCCAGACTGCTTCACCATGTCCTCGACGCCGCCGCCGTGGCACGCTGCCTTCCCAGCACCCAAGCACGAGCCCGCCGCTCTCACCGCCAACGAGGTCCTCAACCTGCTCCAAGGCGCCGAGGCCAACCCTTCTCAAGCAAGAGATTTTGTCCTGGTTGATCTGCGACGTAACGACCACGAGGTAAGGATGCCCAACGGTCTCGCGACCCCCCGGCGTGGCACTGACGTCGATCAGGGTGGCACGATCCGGACCTCGCTCAACTTGCCAGCGCAGAGCCTCTACCCATCCATCCCCACCCTCTACGAAGTGTTCAGAGCTGCTCAAGTGAAGACTGTCCTCTGGTACTGCGGTGAGTTGCTTAGAGATCCCTGGTCCATCGGGCGTTTCCTGATGCAAACAGGATCCTCACTTGGCAGAGGCAGCCGCGCTGCCGGCTGGCTCGGCGACCAGATCGCCGAGAAGGGTGACACGCAGATGAGAAGCGTCATCTTGCGCGGCGGCATCAAGGGCTGTGTTGCTGTGCGGGGAGAGCTTCACGTCATGCATGTCTGGGTATGAAGCTGACAAGTGGGTAAATGTCGTAGAGTAAGGTCGTTTCCGATGATCAATCTGTGACAAGTAGCCGATATTCACACGTCAGTCAACATGCTCATCTTTTGATATAGTGCAGCA